AACTTGGGATCATTCCATTCCCGCAAAAAGCGTCTCCACCTTCTAGAACTGTAAGCTAAACTTGCATAAATACACGCCGTCACTGTTTTCAGTTGGTGTCACGAGAGCGCCCTAGTGCGGCAAAATGGGCAACCGTTAACCCTAACCCCTGACCCCTATAAACCCTAAACCGACCCTCCAACAAAGCCCTTCGTCCCTTCCAAGTCCGGTCCCCCTAGCGCAGGCGCGCAGCTCTCCATGGTTTAGGATGGTCAAGGGCTTAGGGCCCCGTACCATCCAGAAACCCCCACCCCCCTCAAAATAAACCCAATGACCTACTAAGCCCTAAACCCTCAATTCCTAAACCCTAGACCCTAAACATGAAACCTTGAACCCTAAACCTACTAACCCCTTAAAGCCCAAGAACGTCCAACCTCAGGACCGTCAGGGAGCCTTCGCCAGCCCTTTGGCATTCTAATTTGCTCCTGTTAGAACTTCTGTTAGGGTTTAGGGTTTAGGTAGTGCATAGTGTTACGCGCAAGCTTCGGCGTTAAGGTTGTCACTGTTCTAGATTGTGTTATGCTATGTTGTTTCTTGTTGTTGCTGATACCGTGTTGTTCATCCAGCCCTCGGGCATTCCATCAATGTTGCTGTCATAACATGTTCTTTCTTTTCCATTGTTGTTCGTATTGTGTGTCCTCATGCGTAGAGCTACAGTTTATAAAGAGATATGCCCTAAACCCTAAACCCGAAACGGGGGTGTTGTCCATAGGGTGCAGGCTTCAGGGCTGGCAACTGTGGTTAATATCCGTAGGACTCTGATTGCTGTTGTTTATTACTCTGCCTCGGGCTCCCAGTTACCTAAATAGTAGGCTACTGGGCTATGTAAATAGGGTATATAGAAGCCAGTTCCCATTATTTAGGCAACTGGAGCCTTAGGGCTAACTATTCCTATCACTACTAAGCGAAGAGAATGGACAATAGTAGTACGTTAAAACCACACCCCAAAAAGACTAAAGTAGATGGTTGCCGGTGCAGACCCTTCAAGGCGGGACGGGGCTAAGTCTTGTGTAGGTAGGGTCTAGAGTTTCGGGTATAGGCGGTGCCTGAAGGGGGGATGGGGCTAAAGTGTAGGGTTTAGGTTTTAGGGTTTAGGAGGCCCCGATTCGAGGGGGAATGTCAGAGGGACTTAGTAGTATAATGTTCGGGATAACTGGGTTATGAAATGGCTTATAGGGGTTACCAGTATACTTCCTACGTCCCCCTCACCGTTCACCCTAAACCCCTAACAATATGATATTTGTCCATTCCTTACTATGGCGTAGGTATTCCTCCTATGTCAACTTCAGCTCGCAAGGAGGGACCGGTGTGGAGAATCCTTTAGAGTTTAGGGTGTAGGGGTCAGCAATGAGGAGCCATGGCACAGGTGACATGACCCTAAACCCTAAGCCGCATACAGCACACAGTCCGGCCGCAAGATCTTTGCACCCCAACTCTGAACATCAACATGGCGCGCCCAAAGGTTTGCAAAGCAATTTTTCTTTCAGAAGCTTCAAACCCCAACCCTGCAGCAGTGAATTATAGAAGCCTGAAGGATTAGAATAGTGCGGAAAAGTCATGTTCCGGACCTCTTACTGGGGTTACTAGGGAATGGTGAGTCCCGCGATCTTGAACACTCGACCACGGGTCCTCCGATGATTCAGGAAAGCAAACCCAAATTCAAATGTAATCCGAGCAACAGAATTTTCAGGTCTTGATCCACCGAAATGTGTTGAGAGAAGCCTCTACATGTTGCCAACGAATTTGAGTGTAGGATGCTTGCAGACGTCCAGAGCGCCAACACATGGCATCTTCTCCAGTGTGAAGTATGTGCACCGCCTCATGAGTTTTAAGGTTTTTTTGGTTGAGGGGCTCACGATTTATACGCGTACGGATTAGGTTTCAGAGCTGATAGTAAGAAGGCCACGGTCTCCAAGGGTCTGCGTATCCAGGCCGGCTTCAGTGTAGGGTTTGCGGCTTGCATGCCAGCAGAATTTCAGCCCCAAGCCTGCAACAGCTCAACTCAGGCTTTGGAGGGGACTGAGCCTTTTGGAGCAGAAGGCAGCTCACCACAACGAAGCGGAGCACTGTGGCCAACAAAATGACGTTGCGCATGAGTTGCCTGCGCTAGGATCTTGGGGCCTGATGCGTTGAAGGCATTCGGAGATTTGAAAAACATGTACTTGGTGTAGTTGCTGGTAATTATGCATTTGGAAGCTATCGCATCTTCAAATGGCGTATTTGTGCATTTGCAAATTCCACTCATTTTCACTTCTTTGAGATTGAACTTGACATAACCCACAACCTCTGGTTTGTGTGGAATATGTTGCCAAGATTGCGTTGTTTCAGGCTTTGGAATTCTGCTACTGTAGCCATGTTTGCAAGACACGAAAGCTGTTCCCGCTGCTTTGCTACCAGCGGAAATTTTTGTCGCCGTTGCTAGGACCAACATGCCTGCAGGGAGTCAAGTATTTCAGCCGGGGCAGTAATCCTGGTTCAGCATTTTCGGAGCTGAGGGCCATTACGCCTCATGACCACGTTGGGCTTACAAAATCTAAGAAGCCTAGCAGCATGCGTAACGCCCCCCGACGAACCATGCTCAAGCACACCACATTGTAGATGCGGGACCTTGTAGACCATGCCAACTCTCAGCGTAATCAGAAATAGCCCTGGGCAATTTCGCCTTGCGCGTCAAAATGCATGGGGCATTTTCGCAGGCTTTCTACCCTGGAAAATGGGGGATTTTATCGATTTGGCGATGCAGATTGGTCATCTACTTGGCATATGAAGGGATGGAGCTCCATGGTAGTCCCAAATATTGGATAGTCGTCCCTGCAGGTCCTACCTTCACTCAGCATTCCCTTGCAAACTTCAATGCGTATGCCATATGCTTGCTGCTCAGAAGACCTTGGCCAGGCACCTGCTTTACAACTCGTTCCTATTTTTCCCAGATTCTGCTTGTAATCTTGTATACGCATATATGTATATGTCAAGGGTCTTCCATAGTATTCCTCTTTTGAAACATTGCCCGCGTCGCCTGCCCAGCGGGTGCATGCCTTCAAAGTGCCGTGATGGTTCCATGGAGTGTTCATGCTCTGATGTTCAGACCATGGGCCCTACCCATCAACAGCCTCCGTGCACAGCCCTGAATATCTGCATGTCCCTAAACCCAGTATCTGTTTCTCTCTGCGCTTCGTGGATGTCGGGTCGCAGGATGGAGACTGCTATCCTGTCAAATGGGGTCGGTGGTATTCCATGTTAGTCTGCAGCGCCATAGCCTGGAGATGCCATTCCATGACCGCCCTTGCGGCGAACAATGCCAATCACCCCCGTCAATCCAAGGCGAGTTGAAAAGCATCGCATCCCGTAGCAGCTGCTGTTCTAGCCACCCTGAGCCGCTCACGCATGTTTCAGAGCCATGGTAAAGTTGGAAGAGGTTGCGGTGACAGTTTCTCTCTCCTCTTGGGGCCTCCACAGCCTCCGCGCAGCTTGGGCCGCAGCAGGTCAGGGAGTAAGGAGCTTCAGGAGTTAAAGGAGAGCTCTTTGAATACTGGTGCTACTCAGCATGCTCCTTATGATGAAGGCAGCTGCTGCATCAACCAAGTGTAGATTGGTGACTCAGTCGCATAGCCTTGTACAGTTTTCGCTATAGAAAGCTATTTATTCTTTTTGCTGACCGCCTCGGCCTTCGACCATGCCTAGGCATCTCGGACTGCTCTATGGCCGCCATGCAAGGCCGCGCTTAAGTAGCAGTGCTGTGCAAGATTAGCAGCTTGGTGCCAAGAGCCCATATCTTTGATGCCAAGGATTCTGACGAAAAGTGTGTGTGTGTGTGTGTGTGTGGACATACTGTGGTTCAAACCCTAGCTGCGTGCAATTACTTAGCGCCGGCAACCAAACTTCCAGTTTATTTTGGCGAAATGGGCACTTGATTCGGGAAGTCTGGAGAAGCTGGTGACAAAGTATTCTCAGTTACTGTCAGCAAGGATTGATTCATGGAGAAGAAGTGTTGCAGACGAGGTTCAAACCCTTTCATGTTGTGCCGATTCTGTGCATGCTGCTGCCTCTACACCCCGCCTACATGGAAGTGTCAATCTGGTTTTGATTGCAGACGACTGGATCTGCTTACAAACTTGTCTGAAGTCGAAGTAGGCACCTTGCACTACACATTGTGCCAAAACGCGGAGGTTGCAATAAGGTCCTTGCAAGCTGCCTTGCTAGAAGGTTGATGGGACATGGTCTCCACCAAAGCTGTGGCATTACAATCCCATGTATACCCCTTGTCATTAGTTCCCCCAATCACTCTTACGGGCCCACAGGAGCTCTGCTTTCACCATGTACTCCATGCCATGAACCTTCAAGTGACACAGCAACCTAACAGCTTTTGCTGTCTTGCAGCAGGTAGAGACGCAGGGACGCAAAATCGGTATCCCTCGTTGCGCAGAAGGATCGAAGGTGGCCTGGTTCGAGTTTTCGGACCTCTGCAACAAGGCCTTGGGGGCAGCTGATTACCTTGCCATCGGCCGCGCCTTCCACACTGTCTTCCTGGCAGACATCCCCAAGCTCACAATGCAAGAGAGGGATCAAGTACGTAGGTTCATCACCTTGATTGACTCGCTTTACGAATGTCATACGAAGGTGGTGTGCACCGCAGAGCTGGATCCAATTCCCCTGTTTGACGTCTCTGAGGAGGAGCGCAAGACATCAATAGCAGATGAGATCTTTGCGTGGGACCGGACAGCTCCTTGGCAGAAGCAATGCGCAGATATTCCCGAAGCTTAAGGCTTAAGCTTTGGGGTGGGGCAGGTCGGTTTTGACAAAGAATCGTGTCACATGACCCACGAGGCATGTTCCCCCAAACTATGCCCGCGAAGTTGGTTTAGTGTAATCTCAGGTAAGCCGGCTCATGGAGATGCAGTCGACGGCCTACATGGCCACCGCTCCAACGACCGTCAAAAAGTGATCTTCCACGAATTCAATGCCTGCAAGTCAAGCCTGCTGCCACGGCCGCCAACGGGCGTAGCCCAGCATAGACGAATTTGCATTTCTCCAGCCGGAGAACAAAGAATGGCTAGCGCAGAGTTCAAAAAAACATGTCTTCAGACGCTTGATAGTTGCACGTAGCGCATTAGAGTCTGCGACAGGGGAGCCTAATCGCTGCTTGCGAGAACGTCGGCTTTGCGCAGTCATATAGCCGGGCTCCCTACTGCTAGCCCACCCGCGAAGAGCAACCTACGAGCTGCTTGAGTGCCTTGCCACTGTTGCATGGCCAGCAGGCAAACACGCGGAGCACATGGAGCCCCGAAGATGGCAGCGATAGATCGCAGAGGAAGGTGCGCCCTGTCACATGGCAGATCTCAAATGTTATGGGAGGTCAGGCAATCTCGGATTGCATGGGCTTTCGGTGGTTTGTACACGTCGTCCAGATGATAAGTCTGCGGCACATGTTGCGTGGCATGCCTGGCAACAATGTGCTAGATTTTCTGAAATCAGCATCCAGAGAGCTTCGGGTTGAATTCATGAGTCTTTGAGGATGTCGCTGTGCGAGCGCATGTTGCAATGCGAGTTGCAGTTGGAAGTAAGTTCTCTTCGGGAAGCGAATCTTAGTCGATCTGATCGTTGCGAAAGGTACTCTGCCGGCTATGCAGACATAAAGCTTGAGCAAAACATGTGGAGCTTGCAGCAAGATCCTCACAGGCTTCTCTGCTTGGAGGCTCATGGGATTTCGTATCGCCACGCAAGCAGACTGACAATCCTCCGCACATCTACACTTGTTGTGGGGGTAGCCCATAAGACGTATACCGGCAAACATCTAGGGGAACCATGGGTAATCATTCCGGGCCCGAGACGTCCCATGAACCTCCAAGTGACCCAACAAGATCTGGATCACACATGAGGCCCGCCTAGGTGAAAGTCAGCCGAATGCAATGCCTTTGATGCGACTTTGGTACAAGTAAGATGAGCCCCTTGGTGGAATGCTAATATCATTTCACTCGGAGAGCTACTTGGAGTAGCCCAGGCCAGAACAGACGGACAGTTTTTCGATCGATGGATGTTTTTGACAGGCTCCCAGAGAACAGCGGCCGAACAGCGCCAGCTGCAACTGAAAAGTTGACAAAAGAGCGACTGGCCTCGGCATGTGGGTTCTGGGCCTGCCATGACGGTTTCAGTTGCATGTGGATATTACTGAAAGAGCAAGTTGCATGTCACGGAGATTCACGGAGTCGCTGTAGCACGACTGTCAATATGAAGTATGAACCTATAGGCTGCAGACGAGTGAGGCGTACATGTTCCACCGCACAGCGCGGTAGCTGCCGCATCAGAATGGCCCAGCAGGCAAATTGACTGGCCAAGAAACTTAGATGAAATTTAATTATGTTCAAGGCTCGCCTTGTCATTGGAGACATCACTTTCGGGTTTACATTTGCGGTTTCTTGCAGTTATCGAGTCCACAAGAATCACTCAATCTGCAACTCAATAGTGCGCATGTTGCGTCTTTGCCTGCCCCAGATTTAAAAGTTTTGGAATTGTCTCAACCTTGGGCCCCCGCTTTGGGGCCTCGGAAGGCCGAGCAAAAGCCAATTTCGAGTTCAAATCAGAACGCAAGTGTTCTGAACGGCAAGCCTGACTACATCGGACTTCTTGCGCTCTGCTCGAGGACATGTTCCCTCTGCATGCATCTGCGCACGCACAGGTGTTGTTCTGCAATAGTGACATGTTGAGCACATCTCGTCTTTTGTGAATATTGTGAGATGCCGCCACAGACCAGCATATTAGGCTTCGTGGGCAGGTTGTGATTGGCACCTGTTGGCTCAAGCATTGCGCATCGCAGCAGTGAGCACTTTCGGCGAGATGCAGAAGGACCTGCCGGCTAGTGCGCAGTCGGTGCGGCCTCACCCCTCCTGTTCCTGTGGAGGCACGGAGCCTCCGGACACGCGGGGTGCCCAGCTGTTTTTTTCAGTTTTCGTGTGCTTCGCGGATGGGTAGGGAACTTGATTTCTGCACCGCAGCTGGAGCCGGTCAGACTGTGAATTTGCAGGCCGTTTGCGTGCGAAGGCAAAACCGCTTGGCGCTCAGAAGATAGCTGCAGAACGTGAGGGTGAAACAGGTTTGCAAATTGTATCAAGGTGGCCCTCCGCACGAACGCTGGCACCGAGCGGAAGCTGCCAGGCCGTCAAACATCAGAACTCTACGGTGCCCAGTGTACGGCTTTGAGTTGATTTCTTCGCTGCGTCTGAACGCCTCACTGACCCATCCTCCTGACAGATCCTGCCCGACTTCCCGGGGCCGCGAAAAACTGAGATCGCAATGTTCGAACCGAAAAAGGTTGTTGCTTTCACTTGCCCAACCCAGGTCCAGCTGGATTTATCTGCTCCAGAAGGCCCTCCTCGGCCCCCAACCTGTCACGAACCAAGAGGGCCAAACAAGAGCTTTTGCCAAGTGGTGTTGTACATTTTACTGGATGTCGCAAAACCCTTGCGCTGTTGCACGTTGATGTGGGTCTCTGAGGCCCTTCCAACCCTTCTGCGCAATCGGCCGCAAATTCAGGTCATGGTTCTGACAGTTCGATTGGGTGTTGGCGCAGAACGTGCTTGACATGTTGAGTTTCTTCAACTGGGGCCGGAGAATTACTCTGCGCGGTTTGAGATGTTGGGCCAGGGGTTAGGTTTTCCAATACGTTGCGTTTTCGGCATGTCTCGTCACATTGTTTTGACACAATTTGACCTAATTGATCTTGTTTGTGATGTGCGTTGAAATTATCAATTTATGACTGGCTGCAGTAGTAGTAGAGAGTGGACATGCTGGATCATTGGAGCTGTGGTCCTTATCTTCGTTGTGTGAGGACGTCTGCGAGAAGGTCCAGATCCCTGTGGATGCTGAGGTGCAACCGGAGCTGATCCCCTGAAATGATGAAGCGGCAGTCAAAGTTTGGAAAAGATTGCCAAGATATTTTAGGCGAAAATGCTGGCTTTGGCGATGTGGAAGGGGCAGGCTTAGCAACCTTGACACACAACCTGAAGCTGACCCCGAGGTGCATGGTGTGAAAGACGCCCTGGAGCACAGTGATGAGGCAGGGGTCCCTGACGTGGGCTTGAAGTTGTCTTGTTTGGATTCACCCTGTGCGACGGTGTCAGAAATGTGTTTACTCACACTTGCGCTGAACTAATGCAGGAGTTGAGTATCCCGATGAAGTACTATGCTAAGCACTCAGGCGACTTGATTCAACCAATTTGGGCCATTTTGTTTAACCCAAGGCACTGGCAGCGAGGACTCGCACATAGCAGAGAGTTTCGACCTCGGCACGCGCAGCCCGTTGCGAGGGGCCGCGGTTTCTCGTCCAACTTTTGCGGCTTTCTCATCGGATTGAGATTGGCATACGTGTTTACATCCGCTCACTCATTCGAAGTACGTGGTGTGATTTGTAGTCTACAGAGATGCTTTGCTGTTGAGCCAGTGTGTACAGTGCGTTCTGTGTGGTAGCGTGGTAGCCACTCAGGCTTCTTCGGTTCGTGAGATGGCTGAGCCTGGCAAAAAAAAGCATCTGGGCAGTAGACAACTTCTTGTTATATTGGGATTACATAGGATAATGGAAAGGAGAATGGAAGCCCGTAGTATATCGGGCTTATATAGGGTTTTTTTGTTTATGAATTGTGCCTATATGGCACAGACATCAGTGGTGCAAAGTGTATTGCATGGATTGCAACAGCACCTGCAACCTGTGAGTCGTGGATGATGCTCCATTCTGGGTGTGACGGTCACTGTCGCGGATTGGATTGTGGATCACATCAATTATGCAGGGAGTTTCATGAGGCCTGCCGGGGTAACGACAGCTTTCAGTTCAACCCCTAAACCCTAAACCCCTAAACCCTAAAACCCTAAACCCTAAACCCTATTGCACACCGACCAACGTTTTTAGAACAAGACAGGCTCTGGCAGTGCTGCGTGGATATGTGTGCCCTGCCGCAGCTTTACGAGTCTTCGGAACTATTTGAGACTGAAACATTGGGCCCCTCCCTTCGGGGCCTTTGCGTGGCTGCGCAAAGCGTGACTTGGCCGCAGGAGGTCGAGGTACATGCGAATTATGACATCCAGGAGAGGTAGCATCACGACAATTCAGTAAGTCTCAATAGGAAACCGGCTTCATTTCAGAAGCACCACTAGTGGCAGGAGTCATTGAATCATTACGTGCTGTCTTCAAATCAGAATGCTTGTAATGGTAGTCACTTCAGGAATTTTGTTCATAGCTCAGAGTTTTAGCATTCTAAGGATGCCGTTGGACTTCGAACCTGCCTGGCTAGCTTGCGGTGTCGTCCGTCTGTAATCAGGACTTGCAGCTCCATGTGTACGTATGGTGTATGTGTGTGTCAAACCATCAATCCAAAACACCTTATGCTAAAATGAAAGAGCTTTGCAGCCGTGGTTTTTTCGTCGTGGGAGCAGCTGTTGCTCTTTGCACTTGCCTTGGATAATTCAGGTCCTGATGTAGACATACATAGACTGGACTTGAAAAATGAAAGTATGATGCGTCCATAGTTTCGGCATACTTATGGGTGTATTGCAACATGCTAGACGCCTTTTCTTTAAGACACTTCTCGCAATAGCCTGCCAAGGCATCTCCATTGCTCCACGGCTGCCATGTTTTGCGTACCGGCAAACCAGCCAGCTACCCAGAGGTGTGTTTGGCTGTCGGATGTGGCTGCAGGCCTGGCGACCCACTAAAGGGTTCACGACCGTCAACCCTGGTTTGTGAGCATGCTGATAAATAAGGGTGCACCTGTGCAGCCGTCAGGTTCTGCTGCGGATGTTCGCTACGATTCGGGACCGGCCTGGTGATCTTCGCCCACTTGGCTGCATTGAATTCGTAGGCATCACCTCCGTTTTGTGGGAAGTTGTTGTTCGTAGCAGTGGTAGCTCAAGTATAGTGCAGAACTGCCGCGGGCGGCAATGGATGCTGCGGCTGAA